TTTTTTTTTTGAGATGGAGTTTAGCTCTTGTTGCCCAGGCTAGAGTGCAGTGGCATGATCTCAGCTCACTGTAGCCTCCCCATCCCCAGTTCCAGCAATTCTGTCTCAGCCTCCTGAGTAGCTAGGATTACAGGCATGCACCACCACGCCCAGCTAATTTTTTATTTTTAATAGAGACAGGGTTTCACCATGTTGGCCAAGCTGGTCTCAAACTCCTGACCTCAGGTGATCCACCCGCCTCAGCCTCCCAAAGTGCTCGGATTACAGGCGTGATCCCCTGGCCTGAAAGCTTTTATGCAATGATAATCACCACCTAATTTAAAAGTTCAGGCCAGGTGCAGTGGCTCATGTCTGTAATCCTACCACCTTCTGAGGCTCAGGCGGGCGAATCACTTGAGGTCAGGAGTTGGAGACTAGTCTGGCCAATGTGGTGAAACCCCGTCTCTACCAAAAATACAAAAATTAGCCAGGCATGGTGGCATGCACCTATAATCCCAGCTACTTGGGAGGTTGAGACAGGAGGATCGCTTGAACCTGGGAGGTGGAGGTTGCAGTGAGCTGAGGTGGCACCACTGCACTCCAGCCTGGGCAACAGAGGGAGACTCCAGCTCAAGAAAAAAAATAATAATTATAAGTCCACATCCTTCTGAAAGTAGGATGCGCCCAATATCTGCTTTAAATGGTGTTACATCAAAGTCATCCACCCTCCTGTCCCCGGACTTACCTGCCAACCTGAATGCAGAAGTCCCCACGAATGGTGCCTGGCTTAGAATCTGCAGGATTGGTCTCCCCAAGCATCACTCGACCTGTCTTCACCACATTCAACCCCTCCCAGACCTGGACAGTGTGAAATGAATTTATATCAGATCTGCCACTCAGGACAGCTCGGGGCTAACATTCACTCCCACCTGACAGGACACGTCAATGAGACCAATCAGTGACATTATCAGCTGACCCCAGCACAGAGTAGAGGCCTAAATAAAAACTCCCTTCCAAATGTATTACTAGGATTCAAAGAAAAGTCCACCCAACTTGGGAACTTCCCAGTTTAGCTGAGACAGATAAACAATGTTGAAGAATCCTTATGCAGCCATAAACACAGAAGAACTGGTGAAGAAAGGCAAAAGTGGCCAGACTGGACTAGATCAGTGGGAAGGGCATCCCAGGAGACTGCTAGAACAGGGGAAATGAAGACTAACATTCCACAGAAAATATTCCAGGGACAGCAGAAGAAGAAAAAGCCACACTTGGTGAACAGGAAATAGGTGTACTTTCTCAACAATTTCAGTGCCTATTTCACTCTCTCCTATTCTCTGCACTCCCAGTTGGACGTCAGCACCATCCAGAAGAAACTGCATCTAGTGTAGGATTCCAAACTTCTGCTTCTTGTATTATATACTTACATTTGAATTTTTCATGGAAAAATTCAGAAATTTCATAGAAAAATGTAAGAAAATAGGCCGGGCGCGGTGGCTCACACCTGTAATCCCAGCACTTTGGGAGGCCAAGGCGGGTGGATCACCAGGTCAAGAGATGGAGACCATCCTGGTCAACACAGTGAAACCCTGTCTCTACTAAAAATACAAAAAATTAGCTGGGCATGGTGGCGTGTGCCTGTAATCCCAGCTACTCAGGAGGCTGAGGCAGGAGAATTGCCTGAACCCGGGAGGCGGAGGTTGCGGTGAGCCGAGATCGCGCCATTGCACTCCAGCCTGGGTAACAAGAGCAAAACTCCGTCCCAAAAAAAAAAAAAAAAAAGAAAATAGAAAAAAGTTTTTTAAACTAGGAAACATTAAAGTCTAAAACACCTGTCAAACAGAAGAAATTTAACAATTTTTTTTGAGACAGAGTCTGTCAGCAGGCATCAAGCTGGAGTGCAGTGGTGCAATCTCGGCTCACTGCAACCTCCGCCTCCCAGGTTCAAGCAATTCTCCTGCCTCAGCCTCCCGAGTAGCTGGGACTACCGGCACATGCTACCACGCCCAGCTAATTTTTGTATTGTTTTAGTAGAAACGTAGTCTCACCATGTTGGCCAGGCTGGTCTTGAACTCCTGGCCTCAGCCAGTTGATCCACCTGCCTCAGCCTCCCAAAGTGCTGGGCTTACAGGCGTGAGCCACTGCACCTGGCCCAGAAATGCAGCATCTTATAGACAATGAGATTCTATTTAACCCAGGAGAAAGCTACCTGAAAATGTCCTTCCATTTCTTTTTTTCTTTTCTTTTCTTTTTTTTTTTTTTGTTGAGACAGAGTATCGCTCTATCACCCAGGCTGGAGGTCAGTGGCAGATCTCAGCTCACTGCAACCTCACCTCCTGGGTCCAAGCAACTCTCCTGCCGCAGCTACCCGAGCAGCTGGGATTACAGGCGAGCACCCATGCCCAGCTAACATCCTTCCCATTTCTAAGGTCTGATTTTGCTTTCTCCTCCCAAGCTCCTAGTTGCTCAGTTAAGTAACTTCAGCAGGTTCCATTCATAAAATGATTTAGATTAGCTGAGAGAGATGTCTAAAAAAGCTAAGCACTTTTTCCTCATTTTCCATATTCCCCACAAGCACTCACCATGGCCACGACTGGCCCTGAGTTCATGTACTTCACCAGCCCAGGGAAGAATGGGCGGTCTTTCAGGTCAATGTAATGCTGCTTCAGGTGTTCCTCAGAGGCCTGGCATTCGAGAGGAGGTGCCAGTTAGGAATTCAGCTGGAAAGACCCCATCCCAACCTCTGAACCTCCCATTAGTATAGCAGGGTCTCTAAAAGTCCGGTTTTATATTCTAGCCCACGTTAAGTGTGTGGAGATAGATATACTAAAAAAAAAATTTTTTTTTGAGACGGAGACTCGCTCCTGTTACCCAGGCTGGAGTGCGGTGGCGGATCTCGGCTCACTGCAACCTCCGCTTCCCAGGTTCAAGCGATTTTCCTGCCTTAGCCTCCCAAATAGCTGGGACTACAGGCACGTGCCACCATGCCCAGCTAATTTTTTGTATTTTTAGTAGAGACGGGGTTTCACCGTGTTAACCTGGATGGTCTCGATCTCCTGACCCCATGATCCACCCACCTCGGCCTCCCAAAGTGCTGGGATTATAGGCATGAGCCACTGCACCCGGCCAATATATAGAAATATTTTTAAAATCCCATCCAAACCACGAAACTAACGCCGTTTTAGCAGGAAGATCGTTCTTTTTTGGTTTGCTGTTTCAGTTTGTTTTAGGAGACAGGGTCTCACTCTCACCACCCAGGCTGGAAAGCAGCGGCACAATCATGGCTCACTGCAGCCTCCACTTCCAGGGCTCAAGTGATTTTCCCACCTCAGCTTCTCAGGTAGTTAGAACTACAGGTGCACTCAACCACACCCAATCTTTTTTTCAAATTTTTTGTAGAGACAGGGGCTTGCTATGTGGCTCAGGCTGATCTCCACCTCCGGGGCTCCACCCATCTCTGCCTCCCAAATTGCTGAGAGTATAGGCGTGAGCCCTGCGCCTGGCCAAGACTGTTCTAATCGTAAAAACACTCTCATACTGTCAGTGACACTGAGGATTTTGTAATCCTAAGAAGTAGGTGGTTGAGGATCTAGATTTAGGGAGTTAAATTTTGGCTGCAACTGAAGTACATATGTCAAGTCATACGTCAGGCAGAGGCCATATTAAAACCCCCTGGGCTACTCACAACACCCTTTTAAATATTTCAGATAACTGAGAACATTCTCTTCACCGACGAGCCTGGTTGAATTTCAGTACTTAGATACTTACCCCCAGGTGTAGGGATTCAGATCTGTGCCCCAAATTTAATGTGGAAAATACAGTTCCTACCCCATGCTAAAGGAGGGGCACCGCACTGGAACTCGGAGTTTCAGACTAAAGCACCAAAGATTCCAAACCTCCATTCTGTGCCTAGGCGGACCCGCGTGGGCAAGCGCAGGGGGTCTGGCGCCCGGGGTTTCTCCGCTCCCTGCTGCCCCCTGCAGCGGGTAGGCAGGTGGCGGCCCGCGGGAAGGAAGCCAAACCCAGAGTGCGAGTCACGCTACCCGCGCTTCACCTCCCAAGGGCGTCTGTCCCCACCGCCTCGGGAAAGGGTCGCCGGGCCCGAGCAGCCGTGGGCGGGGGCAGAGGGCAAAAGGATTCTCGTGGGCGCGAAATGGACTCGGAAAGGCAACGCGGACAAACCGCTGCCGGGAGGAAAAAACCCCCACGAGCCAGCTGTAGCTGGGGAAGGGGCGACCGGGGCGAGTTACCCGGAGGAACTTCATGGCCACGAGGCGGAACCCCTTCTGCTCGAAGCGCTTGATGATCTCGCCCACCAGGCCGCGCTGCACGCCGTCCGGCTTGATGGCGATGAAGGTGCGCTCGAGGTTGGCCATGGTCCTGCGGAGCGAGAGGTGCGGTCAGGGCCCGGGCTGGTCCGGTCCGTGGAGCGGAGGCCACGTGGGCGCCGCCGGGCCCGCCTCCCCCACCGCGCGCGGCCGGGGGGACACGTGGCTTCCCAGCGCTTCCGCCCCACGCAGGGCCGGCGTCCCTCTGCGGAGCCCGGAGGCCCGCGGGGCTCACGCGGCCAGGAAATCTCCCGCTCCGACCCCGGGCGGGACCTGTGGGAAATCGGGGGCCACCCGCAGACCCGGCCCACCCGCGGCCGCGCAAGCGGATTAGGGAGCCGGAGGAGTCGCCAGGGGATGCGTCCCCAAGCCTTACCGGGAAGCTGGCGGGGCCGGGCGGCGGCGCTGCAGTGCCGGAGCAGAGAGCTGAGCCACCACCACGCCCGGAGCCGGCGGGGTAGGAGGGGCGGGGGGCGGAACGCGCGGCGGCCACACCCCAGAGGGCCGGGACGCCCAACCCACAGGGACGCCCCACCCGCCCGGCAGCACTAGGCCCTAGAACGCAGTGCCCGCGTCCAGCAGGGGCGCGCCCTCGCCGGGCAGAGATCGAGACTGATCCAGAGACAGGAAGTGATTCGCACGTCCCAAATCCCACTCCTCACCTCTCAGTACTTCCCGTGACCCCAAAAGCTCCTGCACACACACACCCTGCTCCTGTGCTCGAGTTCCCTCCCCGGTCAAGGCCATCTGCTGCTTTCGCCATCCGCCCGAGCACCGGCGTTAACCTTGAATTGATTCTCCCTCCACATGGTGCACCCACAGTCCTTATCCTCCCTATCTCTTAAGTCCAGCCTTCCCTCCCCTCTGCTTGAGCCCTGGTTAAGCCTCGGCCTCCAAACGGGCCTCGATCTCACCTCTCCCCGCAAGCGGGGAGCCTCGCTCAGCACCTCAAACAGCCATCTGGTCCTGCCTCTGCTCTGTCTTGATGACTCCCTCACCTACAGGAATGGCGTTCAGACTCCTTAGCGAGATACTCTTTTCACAGGATGCCCTGCTCCCTGGCTGCCGCCTCCCCACCTACATTTCCAGCCCCAATCAGACACTCCACTCCCACCCTGAGATGGGGAACCATGCCCACCCGGCACTAAAATGTGGTCAAGTTTTCCAGTTCACCCTGAACCTCACCCCTGGACCCTGAGGAGAGTCTAGACCCTATCACAGAGATCAGGGCTGCCATCGACTTGTAGACAATTCCTATTTGCCATGTGCCTGGCAAACAAGCTCCCTTTGGTGGCGCCCAGCTTCCCTGGGGTGGTGACGAGCCCCTCCTCTCAGCACCTGCAGCACTGACAGCAGCACAGCTGTGGTGCTCCCCTGAGATGGTGGAAGCCCACTTGCTTCCCCTCAGGAGTCTGAGCTGACCACAGATCACCAGAGTACCCCTGGCACTGCGCTGATCACTTGTCACTGGCCAGATGGATGGCAACCTGGCCTCTGTTATACGTCATCTGCTTTCCAAACTTCTAGTATCAGAGTATCAGCCCAGCAGACATTGACAACGACTGCCACGTGCCCTCGTTTGGGGGCACTGTATTTTTTGGCTTCAATCTGAAGCACACTCTCATTTGGATTACCAAATGTCAACTGTGGAAACAGGTCTAGAAATTTCATGGACTTTTCTCTGTCCGGTGGAGGGCTATCTGCCCCTTGGTCAGGTCACTGATGGCTACTTAGGGTACAGTCAAGACCACGCCTCTGCTCTCACCTGTTCTTTCCTTCCTGGGAAGACTGTCCTTAACTGGGGAGGCTGTAACCCTCCAGCTTCACTACACGCAAGTCCTTGTATGCTCATCTGATGCCCCAAAACAAACAGGTCACACCGTGTAACATATTAATAGAAATTTATCTTGCTGGGCGCGGTGGCTCACGCCTATAATCCCAGCACTTTGGGAGGCCGAGGTGGGTGGATCACGAGGTCAAGAGATCGAGACCATCCTGGTCAACATGGTGAAACCCCATCTCTACTAAAAATACAAAAAATTAGCTGGGCATGGTGGCGTGTGCCTGTAATCCCAGCTACTCAGGAGGCTGAGGCAGGAGAATTGCCTGAACCCAGGAGGCGGAGGTTGCGGTGAGCCGAGATAGCGCCATTGCACTCCAGCCTGAGTAACAAGAGCGAAACTCCATCTCAAAAAAAAAAAGAAAAAAGAAATTTATCTCACCCTCATCAGTCCGTAAAGAAGGCTGCCCACCCCAGCTACCCTTTTCTCCCCCATCCTGAGAAGTCCCTTCCCTTCTATTGCCTTTATCGAAGCCAGATGAACAGAAAGATAAGAAAAACCCTCAGGCTGGGCACAGTGGCTCACACTATAATCCCAGCACTTTGGGAGGCCCAGGCAGGCAGATTGCTTGAGCCCAGCGGTTGGAGACCAGCCTGGGAAACGCGATGAAACCCTCTCTCTCTCCCTTTTTTTTTTTTTTTTTTAATTTTTAGTAGAGACAGGATTTCACCATGTTGGCCAGGATGGTCTCGAACTCCTGACCTCGTGATCCAACTGTCTCAACCTCCAAAGTGCTGGGATTACAGGCCTGAGCCACGGTACCTGGCCGATGAAACCCTATCTCTACGGAAAATACAAAAATTAGCTGGCGTGGTGGCACGTGCCTGTAGTCCCAGCTACTCAGGAGGTTGAGGTAGGAGGATCACTTGGGCCCAGAGAGGGCAAGGCCGCAGTGAACTACTGTGATAACACCATGGCACTCCATCCCAGGTGACAGAGCGAGATCCTGTCTCAAAAAAAAAAAAAAAAAAAAAAAAAAAATTTCCAGTTTCTCTTGCAGCTAGATGCAAACATATGACTAAGTTCCAATGGGATGTGAGAGAAAGTGAAGGTTGTAAATCAGAGTTGTCTCTAAAAGGGATACTTCTTCCACTTCTCTTCCCAACTTGCAGGTAGGGACGTGGGGTGGTAATCCAAGTCGGACTGATTAGAAGAAACCAGGTGTGTGTAGACCACCTTAAGGATCAGAGCCTTACCACCATCACCATCACCAAACCTACTGGGCAGCTAGGGATTTTTTTTTTTTTTTTTTTTTGAGATGGGGTTTCACCATGTTGGCCAGGATGGTCTCCATCTCCTGACCTTGTGATCTGCCCACCTTGGCCTCCCAAAGTGCTGGGATTACAGGCGTGAGCCACCGCGCCCAGCCTGAGCTTTTTTTTGGAAGACAGGGTCTCACTCTGTCACCCAGACTGGAGTGCGGAGGCAGGATCACAGGTCACTGCTCCAACCTCCCAGCCTCAAGCGATCCTCCTACCTCAAGTCTCCTGAGTAGCTGGGACTACAGGAATGTACCACTGCACCCGACTAATTTTTTAATGTTTGGTAGAGTTGAGGTCTCACTTTGTCACCCAGGCTGGTCTCAAACTGCTGGGCTCAAGCGATCTGCCTGCCTGGGTCTCCCAAAGGCCCTGTAGTCTCAGCTACTCAGGAGACTACAGCAGGAGAATCACTGGAACCCAGGGGGCAGAGGTTGCAGTGAGCTGAGATCGTGCCACTGCACTCCAGCCTGGGTGACAGAACAAGACTCTGTCTTAAAAACAAACAAAAAAACCCACCTCAAACTCCTGCGCTCAAGCAATCCTCCTGCCTTGGTCTCCCAAAGTGCTGGGACTATAGGCATGAGCCACCGCACCCAACCACACTTGATTGTTTTTTTTTTTCCAAGAGTTTCGCCCTTGCTACCCAGGCTGGAGCGTAAGGGCGTGATCTCGACTCACTACAACCTCCACCTCCCAGGTTCAAGCAATTCTTCTGCCTCAGCCTCCCGAGTAGCTGGGATTACAGGTGCCCACCACACCCAGCTCATTTTTGTATTTTTAGTAGAGACGGGGTTTCAACAGGTTGGCCAGGGTGGTCTTGAACTCCTGACCTCAGGTGATCCACTCGCCTTGGCCTCCCAAAATGCTGGGATTACAGATGTGAGCCACCACACTCGGCCCACACTTGAACTTTCAAATAAAAGAGAAGTATATTTCTATCTTGTCTCTGTTAAAGCAACCATATCAATATCCTAACAAATCAAAGCTACTTACAAGCTCTCCAGCTTCATTTGAGGCCATCTCAGGGCCCCAGGCCTATTGTCTACCTAGCTTTTCTAATATTTGGAGTAATTACAACTTCTCATACTCCCCTATTCACCGAATCCCCAAGAGCTTCTCAAGAACAGGATGGATATCTTTTTATTTTTAAGAGGCTGCTCTCACTCTGTCGCCCAGGCTGAAGTACAGTAGCACGATCACGGCTCACTGCAGCCTTGAACTCCTGGGCACAGGCAATCCTCCTGCCTATGCCTCCCCAACAGCTAGGACTAAAAGTGCACAGCACTACAGCTGTCTCATTTTCTTGTAAACACAGTGTCTTGCTATGCTGCCCATGCTTGACTTGAACTTTTGGCCTCTAGTGATTCTCCCCGTCAGCTTCCTGAATCACTGGGATTAAAGGCATGAGCCATCGTTCCTGGGCTATTTTTTTTTTTTTTAATGAGACAGGGTCTTGCTATGTTGCCTAGGCTGGTCTCCCACCTCAGCCTCCCAAGTAGCTGTGATCACAAGCACAAGCCACCACACCCAGCCCTCATACTTTCTTTTACTTTTGATGAATCCTCCGCACCTAGTCCAGTCTTGGCCACCTCGCAGATGCTCCATACATGCCTGTTGGCTGGCTCAATGCCCAGAGTGGAAGGGATGCAAGGGTTAAGGAGAGAGGCAGGCAATGCCTGTGTGGATGTGAGAAATCAATATAAATGATTTACATAGTATTTACACTGTCTATTAGGTCAGGTTATTCCATGTACATATTAAAAAAAAAAAAAAAAAAAAAAAAAAAAAAAAAAAAAAAAAAAAAAACAAAGCAAAACAAAGTAGCTAACTCCATGAATCCTCTGTTGGGAGGACGCATTTTAATCCAAGGTAGGGGATGGTAACACTGTACAGGGAGCACTCACAGCTCCAAGAGTTTCCCTTCAAATTATGAAGAAGCTCCTGTAAATAACTAGATTTCCTACAGCCTGGTCCTCTGCCGGTGGGAAGGAGGGGAAATGAATGTGAAAAGCATTGTGGTCTGCCGTCTGGTCATTCATAGATCCAGTTCTGAGCACAGCTCTTGTAATCTACCAGTTCCTCAGGGTGAAACCACAAGCCGATCTCCTTCTCTGCACTCTCCACGGAATCGCTGCCGTGTATAATGTTCCTGGGTGGAGAAAGAGGTAGTCACATTACCAAGACCAGAAGGATTCAAATGAGCCCACTGCCAGAAATCTACAGCCACTGCAGCATAAAAGCTGAAACTCCATGGACATTAGACCATGTTAAAAGAAAAAGCCTACAGCGGCCATTAATGTAACGGTGATAAATGCCCTCCCCACATCCAGCCCTCCCGGCCACACTGGTGCAAACAGTGAGAGCCTTCAGCAAAGACTCTGGCCAGCAAAGTGTGTTATACCAGGTTCTACACTTTGTGTAACAGAGGTACAACCACAGCGATATTAACAACTAAAGCCAAACACTAACTAAACAGGGAAGAAAACAATAAACTCCAATAAAATCAACCTGCATATGGTATCATGTCTACCTCCAGCCTCAGAAACCCAATCCTTGTAGAAACTAAACCAGATTTTGGAAAAGGCGGTAGAACACCAACATCTCACCTGCCGACTTGTATGCAGAAGTCTCCACGGATGGTCCCAGGCTTGGAGTCTGCAGGATTGGTCTCTCCGAGCATGACTCGGCCTGTCTTCACCACGTTCAGCCCCTCCCAGACCTCCAAGGACAGAAGAAGATATGGTCAAGGAAGAAAACCAATCTCAGCAGAAAATCTGGCAACTATTAATTCAAAAAAGGAAAAATACAAAGGCCCCTTAAGATGACATTCACTCACTGAACCAATGTTTAGAGTATCCACTTGTTCCAGCACTCAGGAACTTGGTCTCCCTGCCCTCAGGCTTGCCTTTCTACAATGCATTCCCCATACAGCAACCAGAGCAGCCTCTTTAAAATCCCAAGTGTGAAGGGTCCCTCGCAGCACTCAGGAAGTACGTGTTCAACATACTCCCCTGAGAGAGGGGCCCCTGCCCATGCCTCTGAACTCCTCCCACCCCAACTTCCCTCCCACCCATCAGGCTTCAGGCATTTCAATTCTCTTTCTGTACTTCAAAACGCCAAGCTCATTCCCATCCTGGGCCCTTTGCACATGCTGTTTTCTTGGCTGGAAATGTTTTTCACTATGATTCTGTACATGGCTGGCTGCTTCTTGTCATTAAGACTACAGCTTAAAAACTGCATTCTTTTTTTTTTTTTTTTGAAACGGAGTTTCGCTCGTTACCCAGGCTGGAATGCAATGGCACGATCTCGGCTCAAAGCAACCTCTGTCTCCTGGGTTCAAGCAATTCTCCTGCCTCAGCCTCCCGAGTAGCTGGGACTACAGGCGTGCACCACCATGCCCAGCTAATTTTTGTATTTTTAGTAGAGACGGGGTTTCACCATGTTGACCAGGATGGTCTCGATCTCTTGACCTCGTGATCCACCCGTCTCGGCCTCCCAAAGTGCTGGGATTACAGGCGTGAGCCACCGTGCCCGGCCAAAAGAATTGCATTCTTTGATCGTCTAATGTCAAGTGATCACTGCTACTCCTACTCATTTATGGGCCTGTAACTAACCTATTTCATTTCTGGGCATATCACTGACCATTAGTTGATATATGAAAACATATCTATTTGTTCTCATTCATGACTGTATCCCCAGTGTCTAGAAGAGAGCCTGGCACAGATCACATGCAATGCATGCCTGGAGTATCTCACATGGGCACTCACCATGGCAACTACCGGCCCTGAGTGCATGTATTTCACCAGGCCAGCAAAGAATGGACGGTCCTTCAGGTCGATGTAGTGTTCCTTGAGAAGGTCTTCAGAAGCCTGTTCAACAAGGCAGAGAATGAGAATGGCCCCCAAGCCATCTAAGAACATGCAATCCATTTAATTCCACCTCACCCACCTTGCTATGTAAAACATGAGCAGCTGGGCTCACTGATTCTGTTGTAACTCAGTTCATTCTCCACACTGGAAGGGACCAGTGACAGAACTCAAAGCACTTCTAGAATTTTATACCAATTATCCCCCTATTGGCCTTGACTGATAAGAATAAAACCACAGTTGAACCCAGGAGGCGGAGGCTGCAGTGAGCCGAGACTGCACCACTGCACTCCAGCCTGGCGACAGAGCAAGACTCCGTCTCAAAAAATAAATAAATAAATAGATAGATAAATAAAACCACAAAACATTAAAATTAAATCCAACTCTCTCAAAAAAAAAAAAAAAAAAAAAACCTCAGCTGGCCGTGGTGGCTCACGTCTGTAATCCAAACACTTTGGAGGCCATGGCGGGCAGATCACCTGAGGTCAGGAGTTCAAGACCAGCCTTACCAACTTGGTGAAACCCTGTCTTAAAAAAATAAATAAGTAGTCCGCGCACGGTGGCTCAAGCCTGTAATCCCAGCACTTTGGGAGGCCGAGGCGGGTGGATCACGAGGTCAAGAGATCGAGACCATCCTGGTCAACATGGTGAAACCCCATCTCTACTAAAAATACAAAAAATTAGCTGGGCATGGTGGCACGTGCCTGTAATCCCAGCTACTCAGGAGGCTGAGGCAAGAGAACTGCCTGCACCCAGGAGACGGAGGTTGCGGTGAGCCGAGATCGTGCCATTGCACTCCAGCCTGGGTAACAAGAGCGAAACTCCGTCTCAAAAAAATAAATAAATAAATAAATAAGAGGGGGGGGGGGAAAAAAAAAAAAA